GTGTTTTCTCTCAACTCTTCCATTCTGTTGAGGTGAATAAGGAGCAGTTCTTTGATGAACTATTCCTAATGAAGAAAATAAATTTTGACAATTGTGATTGATGAACTCACTTCCATTATCAGTTCTGATAATTTTGACAGTTGTGAGGAATTGATTTTTGACATATACAAAGAAATTAGACAAAGTCAATAAGACTTGAGTTTTGTCAATGAGTAAGAAGTCCATGTTGATCTAGAAAAATCGTCAACTATTGTTAGGAAATATGATGCTCCTGTGATAGTTTTTGATCTATATGGTCCCCAAAGATCCACGTGAATCAATTTAAAAAAAGAATCAACACAAGAGTCACTAACATGAAATGGAATTCTTTGTTGTTTTGCAAGATGACATGGAATACAAGGAAGTGACTCATCAATAGATTTCTTAGGAATAAAAGTCAAATGACTTAATACAGACTTAGAACTATGGCCTAATCTATTATGTCATATGGAATAACATTCCTTATTCTTGAAATGAGCAACATTACAAAAATTGAATTTCAAATTCTTTGAAAGATTACAAGAATTAAGAATGGACTCTATGTTTGCAGACTCTAAACTAAACTTGTTTAGAACATAGAGATTGCCCATGACCTTTCCAATGCCAATGATTTTAGCAGTTTGAAGGTCCTGTAAAACACAATAAACAGGCAGAAAAGTGAATGCAATGTTAGCAGATTTTGCTATTGCTTTCATTGAAAGAAGATTACATGTGAATTAAGGCACATATAATACATTTTTTAGTACAACTCTAGAGTTAAGAGTTATTAAACCTGTATGAGTAACAGATTTAATAGAACCATCAGGTAAAAAGATAGGGGTATAATTGGAAACAGGAATTGGATGACCAATAGAAGAAAGTTGAGCACACATGTGAGCAGTTGCTCCAGTATCCAGAATCCATGTGTCAACATCAAAATGACTAGTTTTGATGGAATTGAATAAGGAAATATTTATACCTGCAAAGTCACCAAAATGGGACAAATTTGCAAAGTGAGTATCAGGATGTTGGTTGTTCTTCAAGAACTGGGTAAATTGCTGAAACAAATTGTTCAACGACTCGTCATTGTTGGGATTTGCTGATGTTGTTTGAACATTTTCTCCGACTTCATGTAAAGGATTTTCACTTTGTGCATAAAATGATGTATTGGCCATGTGAGCAGAATTTGACCCAAACTTCTTTTTCTCTTTCAACTCTTTATACCAATCAGGATAACCATGTAGTTTGAAACATACATCCTTAGTATGACCACCAGATTTGCAATGATCACAGTACTTATCAGAATTAATTTTTCCTTTTTGCTCAAATTTGTTCTTTATCTGGAAGGACTTCTTGGTATTGTTGCTATATTTTGGTGTTCTAGCAAGCATTGCGGAAACTTCAGTAGGATTTGCAAAGTTAATTTGTACTTCTCGTTGTTTTTCAACACTGAGTGCCATGGAATATGCTTTATACACACTAGGAAGAGGATCTAGAACCAAGATTTGGTTTCTTAAACTATCATACGTGTCGTTCAATCCCATAAGAAATTGCATCAATCGTGTAGAAGAGTTATGATCAGAAATAGATTTTGCAGAGCTACAGGTACATGAAGGAATTTGAACAAGAGAATTCAATTGATCCCATAACTGTTTAAGATTGGTATAATATTTTGAAAGTGATGAATCACCTTGACTGATTGAAGCAATTTGTCGTTGCAATTGATAAATCAATGGACCATTGCTCTCACCGAAGTGTTCTTCTAATTCAAGCCACAATTCTCTTGCAATCGTCGAGAAAATGAAGGCTCCGACGATCTTTTGAAATTGCGTTCAGAATCCAAGATCTGACCATACAATCATTACTTATCCATTCATCTTGTTCAGTACCAGCAGATTCTGGTTGTTTCGAGGTTCCATCAACAAATCCGGTTTTCTTCTTAGCTCCGAGAGCTAATTTGATCGAGAATTTCCACTACATATAGTTTTCATTTCCAGTGAGGAGATTTGAAACAAGAAACATCGTGTTGTCATTTCCTTTTGGATTAAGAACAGATGAAGAAGCACTGTGTACATTCGAGTTTTGAATCGGAATTGAATCCATTTTGATGAACTCAGATCTATAACGAGGATAAGAAAAAAACAACAAAGATCAAAGGATCGTATGCTCTGATACCATTTCAATATGAGTAATATGATAAGAAAAAGAAGTAATTGAAGAAGACTCCATTGATTTACATAATGAAGCTCTGAAAGCTAATTACAGAGTAAAACCAACAGAATGAAATTTACGTCTAATTAAATCTGTTTTAACAACCTCTATATATTTACGGATCTAACCTTCATGAATCTAAATATTTACAGAATAGACCCTGAGATAAAATGTAATATATGCTTTCTAGTTCTATCCCGCTTGTGAAGAAACTGTTGAGGAAGAACTCAAGACTCTCAGACCAGCAAAAATGGCGACTTCCTTCTCCAATCTTCGTGACCTCCTCACTCGGTAAGTAGATACTCCCGCCACAAATCATCTGTTATCTGTGTCATCGTCTTGTCTTTTACACTCTAAAATTTCCCTCTTCACGCAGATTGTCCCAACCAATCCGAGAATCACTATCGAAAACTTCCTACAAACAACCAGAATCCGACATTTCAATCAAATCTCTCCTTCAATCCCTTCTACCCCCCTTTCCGATTAACATCAACGAAGAATCCGATCTTCAATCCCACTTGACGAGCTTCACCTTACTATGTGCCGCTTTAGCTTCTTCTCAAACCTCGACGTATGATCAGCTCTCATGGATTCCACTTTCTCTCTCAAATTCCGCGGATTCCGCTTTCCGAGAATTACATAAAGCTTTTTCCGATGATCAGGGGAAAGACATAACGATCGAATTGATACCTAGAGTTTTGCCTTTGCTTAAAACGAGTATAAAGGAGAGTTCAATCGATAAGGAGGATGCCGATGGCGACGAGGTCTCTGCCGCCTCGGCTAGGGTTCCGGTTGCTTACGCCATTGTCGCTGCTCATCAATTTAAATGGCTTGTCACACAGGTTTCGTCTCGTTCTCTTCGTTAAAAAACGCAAATAAAGCTAGGGTTAGGGTTTTATGTAAAACGATCATGAATCATCATCGCTATGACTTATGACAGGTTGATTCATCGCAATTAGGAAAAGTGTGTTCGTTGATTATCCCATGTGCACTCACAGCTCTTGATCATTGGTCTCCAGAAGTGAAAGTAGGTATCAAAACTTGGGTTCTTCAATGTTCAATCTCATAGACTCTCATTTCTACTTCTTATTGCTCCAATTCTGGATTGAATTTCTTTCAGCGTCAAGGAATGATGACGTTCATACATCTAGCAAAACATGTGAATTCTTCCGAGTTTAGTGTGTATGAAGATGTGATTCTGGATGCTTGTTGTCAAAACATTGCTTCAAGTGATGAAATCTGGGAACATGTAGTTGAGATGTCTGTGCTCCTTGTGACTAGTACCCAACAAAACAATCCTCGTAGCTCATGGTATTTATCTTTTTATCTCTTCTACCCTTTTTAGCTGATTTTAACTACTCATTGTTCATCAAAAAGCATATATATGTGAGAGTTTTTGTAGGTTTGAGAAGGTGTTGAATGAGATGTTAAGCCATTTATGGAGACAACCAAGATCAAAGGAGAGGCGTATCGCATTTCTTAAACACATTGAGCCACTTTTTATTGGCATGGGACTTGTATTGTTGGGTCATTTCAGACGCATGTTCCCTCTTTTCTTCAAGTGGATGCATGCTGATGATGATCAAAGTGTTCTACTGGTAACATTATATAAATATATAATACACTATAGAGTATAGACTCATTTCTTCATAGAGGAAACCGAAAGACCTTTTATTATTTCTTGAAACTTACAGGTTCTTGACAGTGTTAAAACAGTTATAAAGTTCACGTGGATAAGGTATTCACCATTTTATGAAAGGTATAGTCCTTAAATGCACAAGTGATTTGGAGTTAAAAGGTTTTTTTTTTTTTTTTTTGGTTTGATTTGATATTTTTTCTTTGACCCCAGATTGATAGATGAATTGGTGATTTTATACAAAGATGCATCGCTCAAAGTTGAAAAAGAAGAAATACGTGCTCGTATTGTTCAGATACTCACCCTTCTACAAAAGTAAAATTCTGAGCCTACTTATCGATTGTTACACATGATATGAGTAAATGGGACAAAAAATGGTATTAATTTGTATTATTATTATTTTTTTTTCAGATGCAAAGGGGAGCAATTTGAAGCAGCATGGGTAAAGTACAAAGAGGATCCAAATTTGTCAAAACTTTGCACATCATTAAATCCTGAAACTGTTGTATCACACCCAATTTCAACTTAACTTGATGACAGCTGAAGAATGTAGATGAGTAGATGACTGACTAATTTTAGTTGTGTTAAAATATTGTCAGTGTTGACACATTAAAAATGGAAATGCATTAACTAGTAACAAATATTTATAATTGTTTTTTGTGGTGAAATTGTGTTGGACAATGCATTAACTAGTGACCAATTTTTTATAATTGCTTTTTTTGTGGTGAAATCTTGTTTTGGAGTGACATTATCCCATCTTAATTATGTTTTAAATACAACAAGATTATTATTGGACTTGTAACAAGAAGAATATCTACTAAATCCATTTTTAGCATCTGCTGTATCTGCTTCATCAAACAAGTTGCTATTTAATCTGGGAAGAAAAGTTAAACTACTATGGCTACCATCATTTACAAGAACAATAAAATAGTAATACTCATGCCTTTCATTGATACTAACATAACGATCATAAAATACTATCAATCTTCCCTCCCAAATATATTTACCTAATCAAATCAGTAATCCACTAATTACCTCAGTCAACAACAGAGATTATGAATGGTGTACCCCTAATCAAGTATGTTTATAGTAACCTAATCGTGTCATTAAAAAATTAAAGCATATCAACATACCACTAGAACAGCAATAAACCACTTACCAGTAATAGAAATCCAAGAACAGTGATCTCTGTCAGTGCTCCAATGGTAGTGGAGAAACATCCAGAGAAATCAATTTCAAATTTCATGGACATGTTGGGGTGCAAAAACCCCCAGTTCTGTCCTGTTCCAACTCTCATAGCTGGTAGGTTCGTGAATGTAGTGTTTGTATCGAATACCTCATAAATGTAAGCTTCAGCTACTCCTTCTTTCCTCAATGGTGTACCTCTACCAGATTGGAGATGATAAACCAAACCACGTAGGTACATTTCAGCGTATATTGGACGTGCTTCTACGTCATTTGCTGAATCACAGCTCGGCCACCCTGTCTCCGTCACTACCACCGGAATATTCTCATGTCCAGAGATGGTTAATGCAGCGATAACAGCATCCACCATAAGATCAAACAAATTACGGTACCTAACGCCGGTGATGGCATCGTCTCTGAAGTTATAAGTCTCTTCTTGAAACAGAGCAAAACCGATTGGGATCTCAGGTCGCAATTTGTATACGAAGTAAGGGTATAAATTCACAAAGAATGACGAATTCGTTTCACTTAGAAACTGGAGCAAGGGTTTAAGGATGACATTGTTAGTCGGTTCTTCGAATTCAGCTGAGGAAGGCGGAAACGACGTCATCATGATGTTAACAAACGAGAAAGTCGTTGAGACAGTGATTTTCCGTATCCCGAGATCCACAAGTGATTGATGGACGTTACGTACGGCGCGGAGGAGAACATCTGCGGAGGAAGCGTTTCCGTCAGCTAGGACGTTAGTCCCGACGGAGATGGCGGTGATGAGAGCGCGTGGGTAGAAAGGGACGACGTGGTTGTAGAGCCAGAGGGAGGCGATGGAGCGATTGGTTGATATGGAATGGATGAGAGAGTTTGGAATGGAAAGGAAGAGTGATATATTAGTGTAGAAGAAGGCTCGGATTACAGAAGGTTCAGCGACAGGGAGGCGGACGGCGGTGATTTTTAGAGATCTGAGTGTACTGGCGACTTCTTCCGGTGGTGGTTGAGATGGAGCTGGTACGTAGGTTACGCCAATTGTAGTGGCGGAGGCGGTGGAGACGACGGAGAGGAGGAGGAGGAGGAGAGGGAGGGAGTGGGACATAGTTGAAAGTTTTAGATTAATGGGGTTGAGTGGGTTTAGGGAGTGTTGGAGGAAGAAGGAGGGGTATGGGAAAAGCACCTGCTGCGCATTATAGCATGTAGCAGTTCGTTTGTTGTTATTTGATAGATGCTGTGGGAGGAAATGATCTGCTGCTACGCAGAGGCTTAACACGATGGAATTGGCGGATATTTGTCCATATGACAATAATATTGGGTAGTAAAACTATACTAAAAGTCTAAAACCTTTTTTTTTCTTTAATAAAAACGTTTCTATCAAATTATAAAAACTTAATTTTACTTGTCTTAAGTAATTATTGATTCAGATTTGAAAAATGTCAAAACTAATTCAATATATATAATGCTTCTAGTAATAATGATAATATGGGTGTCCAGATTTTCTTGTTATTTCTTTTGAAGACTCACTTCCATCCAATAGTCTCGATATTATCGGGCATCAAGCTAAGTCACGTAATTGGTTGCTGTGCATGGATTTTATAAAATGGGTTAAATGTTTTGCTAACTAAAAATAATTGAAATTAAATTCAATATTAGTTTGGGATATATTTTGGAGGTGATGTTCGAAAACCAAGTCGATGGTTATGTTCCAAGTGGGAAAAAAAGGTACGTGACATCTTTGTTATACTTAACATTCAGTAATGACTACAAATGTATAAACATAGAAGGCTAAGGGTTAAATGGTAAGATTATGGAGCGAAACTTGATGTTAGGTCCAATATTGGTACTTTTAAGACATTACTAAGGTTGGGGAACCAAATGTGACAAGTTGGAAAATGGTGTGATCTTAAGCTTCTAGGGCTTCAAGCTCTTATTTTCGGGAAACAAATTTAGAATAGAAGAAGAGAGAGGTTGAGTTAGTGGGAAGGGAATTCTTGGTTTAAAGCAATTCGAAGATCAAGTCAATTGAGGTCTAGTGGTTATTCGGGTTGTTCTAATGCTTCCTTATGAACATGTTAAAAGTATCTATGGGATAAAAAGGTTAACTGAGATTAAGGAATATTAATTAGAAATTTTGAGGTTAATCGGCAATTTTAATTTGGTTTGATTATTCATTTATGTGTTTTATTTTAATATTACACTTGTAGAAGCTTTTGGGAGATTACTTACATGTTTGAGGTGAGTACATAGCCATGTAAGCACATATTCTATTTTAGCGTGTACTTTCAACTTATGTGTGTTTTTGAATGATGATATTTTTGATGTATTTGAGTTTATATATGTTTAATTTAATCATATTTAATATAGAAGTATTTTTTTTTTTCAAAGACTATTATAGGTGAAAGTTATTATGAGTTATCGTGTTTCAACGATTGCTTATGGTGTGTCAAAGATACTTAATTTGGATATCCATTTTGTGAGTTCACCTTTAGAGAGATCAAGGGAACTCTTTAATATATCAGGACTTTTGCGACTAGTTAATCTTCCGTTGAGAGATCACTGAAGAACTTTCTTAAAGATGGGAAATATACATCATTATAGATATGAGTTATGAGAATAGATAATTTAAGCTATTCATACATTGTACATTTTGGTGCTTATGTTTACTTTATATACATAAATTTGTAAACTTTTACTATATAATGTCAACTTTATGCAACTTACAAGGCCTTTCATAAATTTAATGTATTAAAATTATTTTTACATGTTCTCAAGTTAGTAGTAATGATAATAGAAGTGTTTGGATGTGAAAATTAGTTTATATTAGTTGGAAGATACTTGTTTGAAACGTGTTTAGACCACGAATACTTTTAGTTGGTTTCATTTGCGAATCGGGATAATGTGTGTATCCTTCCAATTGAATTTGAAAAAATAATTATATATTGGACTTCCGATTTGATGAACTATTTTTAAAAGGTTATTATTGGTCGTTTAAATCATATTTCAAACATTCCTTATGATGGGTGTTTTAGATTTGATATCGAGTTCCATCGAAACAAACCATATATCATAATTGTAACATGACATGGCTTCCTAATAATTAGTTGATTCATCTTGAACAACCATTTTCAAGTCTAATTTAAAATATTATATCATCTATAAGCAAATAATTTTTATTCCTATTCCTAGCATCATAGTAATTGTGAATTTATGTATCTTCTAATATTTATCTGGTTATAAGTAACTTCATAAAAAAAATTGTATAAAAAATATGCCTCTTTTTTAACAAAATGGGTGCGCTGAGTGAGCGGGAAATGCTACCCCCGTAAGACATCAACCAGATGACTGACGTCAGACGTCCCCGCCTTGTTACTCTGGGCTATGCAACGCGCAATGAGGCACACGACTAGACTTCGGGTTTTCCTTTTCCGGGTCAAGTAAAACCCGGGTAAAGCAGACCCATGGATACACAGTAAAACGCCTCTGCTGCGAAACAGAGTGGTTTAGGGTTAAGTATTGCGTATGCGGACTCAAAGCACCCACGCACCCCGATTTGATGCTAATCGGGCCCCACCAGGTTTATCAACAGAAGTTCATATTATACAGAAGTCGATGTGGGAAGGATGACAAAAAAAATTATGGAAGATAGTATGATTTAAATAGTGTTCAGATAATGGATTTGGAATTGAAAGCATAGGATTGAATTGAAACAGTTTGATCCCAAAATCATGAAACAAGAAAATTAAACAAATGTTTGGGTTAGATTAGTTAGAGAAGATAGACTCATCGATCTCTATCTTAACAACCTCGCCGTCGTCGAAGCGATCTTTCCGTGGTGGAGCTGGTGGCACCGGCACCCTCGGTGGTCCTCTGCCCTTCGTCTTGTTCCGTGGTCTTGCCTGTTTAATCGTATAAATTCTTAAATTTCATGTGATAATTTGAGATGATTTTACTACTATGGATTGCTGCAAATCGGAAAATGTCGAACGTTCTGCTAATTACGCAAGCAATAGACTGAAATTAGAAACCCTAAAATTTGAGAAAAACAGGAAAACTCACATTCCCAAACGAGTGATTGAATCGCTTTCCTTTAGCAGTCTTCTTGTCTCCTCTTCCGCAGTAAACTGAAACTCAAGCAATCGAAAAGAAACTTAGTCAAGCTTAAATTTGCAAAAATGTATACGAGAAAGGAATTTAGAGTTTGCGTACTGAGTGGTTGAACTGAGGAGGTGAGAGAGATGGAGGAATAGGATGAAGCGAGGGGAATGGCAGTTGGAGAACATGAACGAGAGAAAGAGAGAGAAGAAGAAGCAATTGGAAGAGCAGCGATTGAAAGTGCCATGGACGCCATTGGCGAGAGCTGTGTGCTTTCTTGGTCTGTGAGGATAAGTGTAGCTCTTTTGACAACAATGATTTTTTGGTAACAAGATATGACTCAACACGACGTCGTATGACTTTCAATCTTTTTCCATCGGCAAGCATAGGTGTAAAATACAAACTTTCGTTTTAGGATTTTATTCCTTTAGCACTATTTTTCTATACAAAATCCTAATAATTTAGAAATTTTTTTATCAAGTCTTAAATTATTTTTTTTAAATAAAATTTTTAACAAGAAAAAATGATAAAAATAACAATTTACACTAATTACATTACAAAAATAGCTAAAAAAAAAAAATCGAAGTTGCAAAAATAACCATGAATTTCACAGATGGAAATGGGCTTTCCATCTGCAAATGTACAAGCAGTTAAAGCACAGTTGTGTTTTAGCTGCTTGTACATTCGCAGTTTTTTTTTCTTTATATACATTGAAAATGTATGGTAAAATCGCAGATGGAATAGCCCCATCTGCGATTTATTCTGATTCCATCTGTGAATTTGTGAAGAACGACTCGCCGAGCCGCATGCATGCAATTACTATATACTCGATTCTGCTTGAATCCAATGCATTCCATGATGGGTTTTGGTCATAAGACATCCTATGTGCTCATACAAACCCTAATGCTTGGATTTAGGTTTCTCTATTGTACATGCTTTGAATCCAAGACTACAAACCCTAATTCTAGCATACAAGTAATCATATTAACATAAGAATGAGTTTATAATGTTACCTTAATTGTTATGTAGCAATAACAATCCTAAATCTCCTTGTATTGACTTTGGAAGGCTTAGAGTCACAAGTGTCACTCCTCTAATGGCTCACAAACACCATAAGCAAATGGAGAAGGTATAAAGAAAGAGGTAAGAGGTTAGAATTCGTATCTAGGACCTCTTGGGAAGGGATACACGAATTCATGACCCTAGGGGTGTTTATATAGGTGTAGAGATAGGGTTTCAGTCATTATCCTTATCTAGTTGATTATCCATTAAGCAACCAATAAGATAATCCTTGAATCCTTATCATACTCTAATTCTAAGGCTTTCCAACCTTAAATTCGTCCACCATATAAATAAGATAATCCTTACCTTATTTTGTAACTATCACATAATTACAAATCAGCCCCTCTAGTTTAATTAATTACATTTGATCACAAAACTAATTCTTAATTAATTATTAACCAATATTAATTAAACAAATATGATTTCTCCTTTAATATATTATTCTTATAACATATTAATAAATCATATTATCCTCTCTCTCTTTATTCATTTCTCCAATCAAGTTGCTTTGGTGAAGGCAACCCAAAAGGACCATGCACCATCGGGTCAAGTACATACCAAAATAGTTATGGACTTAGACACTAATCCAACATTCCATTCATAGATCTGGGTTCTTAGGGTAGGTTTTATACGTAAAGTTTCCAACTTTACGTGTATTCATGCACCAAAAGGGAAATAAGAGGCTTAACAAGGACTATAAGAGTAGATCTAGGACTTTATACACAAGTTAGGCTCATAAAGGCAATAGATCTGAGCTCCTTGAGCTCAATCATGCCTAGATCTGAAGTACCTTAACATTATAAGCTTCATTACTCAAAGATCAAGACTAAAAGAGGCCTTAAAATGACTATCTGAAGCTCTTAAGGAGATAATAATGAAGGAACAGAGAGGGTTTCGAGTCTAATACCTCTAGAAGCTCTGAAATGGCACAAGATTATGGATCTTCTTCCTTTCCTCTTGAACTACCTTTCTCTTTTCTCCAAAACTTCAAGGAAATGCACCAAAAGTACTCAAAATACAAGAAGAATGGTTAGGGATTCGTGAGGGAGTGTTCTGGACGCAATGGGGCCGTTATGGGGCACAAAAAGATGTTTAAATAGGGTGCAAACCTTTGGAATTAGGGTTTCATCCAGACAGGCGGACTCGCCGAGTCCAGGATATGGACTCGCCGAGTCACCAACTTAAACGTGCTCAATATCTCGTCTCTACTCGGCGAGTCGGGCCTACAACTCGCCGAGTTCCAGCTAAAGATGCAAAAATACTTAGATTAAAATACATACCAGGAACCAGGTGCTACACATACACACCCTTTGACTTATAAAAATCTTTACAATTTAAGTCCCACAATTACACTTTAACCCCTAGAGACTCCAATCTTGTCATGTAGCTTTCCCGAAATCAACACCCCACTAATTATTATTTGATTTTTGGGCTATAATAACATATAATAATAATAATACAAATTGCTTCTCGAGTTCAAGTTTCATTATTTAATTATCTTATTTTAAACGGGATGTTACATAAATGCACCCTAGAGTCATGAAGTTTCCAACTTTATGACTTTACACGTCCAAAAGTTCTTAATATAAGGTCTTAATCCATTAAAACCCATTTCCCAAATGCATTGGACACTTCTAGCCATTGGGACCTCATTTTTATGACTAAGGACCCCTCCAAGGATCTAAAAGGATGGCTCAAAACATCCAGGGCATGTCATGCTCAAGATGGAACATTTAGAACCAAAAGGAAACATAAAAAGACCCAAACATAAGATCTATCAAACAAACCATAAAGGTATGAGCTTTATACCTTTAGATTGTGGAGAAGAGAGCCAAACTTCTAGATCCAATCCTTGCTTCAAGCTTCCAAGCTTCTTCATGCACTTCTCCTTCCTCTAAAACACCAATAACACACTTTAGGGCTCTCAATCTCACTCTAGGAGGCTAGGGTTTTGCAAGAACAACTCTAAGACTTTGGAGGCTGAAAAGGTGGGGATAAATGAGCCATAAGGATGCTTAAATACGCTACAAACCCTAAAACTTAGGGTTTCCTTCATACACGAGTACACCCGGCTTACAAGGGCGCACCCTAGTACGCTCAGCATACCCACATGGACCCTTAGCATACTCTTCTTGGACCCAAAATTAAAAATTTTCCACTAGGGCTTCCCATGACTACTTCTATCCAATCCAAGACCAAAGTAACATATATTAAAAACCAAAAGATGAATTTAGAAATACTTGAATTCTCGGAATGTTACGGGCGTTCTATATATCTACGAAAATTGTATTGACGTCTCCTTCATATCTATGATGATTATTTTGGCTCAAGAGTAATATATTTTATTTTGTATTTTATAATAATTACAATCTACGGTTATAGTAAAAATGGGGTGTTACATGAGGTTTTTTTTTTGGGTGGTGGGGGGTGGAGGGGGGGGGGGGGGGGGGGAGGGAGGGAGGGTCTCTTTGTTAAAGTTGGCTTTATTGGTAAATGTTTGATGTAGAAACTCGGGTTAGTTGATATGAATATTCATGTTAGCAGTGGAAAGTGATTAACTAAAAACATTTTATTTCATGACCATGGTTCATTACATAACAAACATCTCGGTGAGCGATCCCTTTATATATTAGAGATTGGTTTCCGTTTTATTTATGTAGGTCTGAACATTATTTGAAGCAAAATAAATCAGAACGAAAAACTCACTTTGTGATGAACTTAAATCGTGGGAGTGCATTATCCCCCACAACAAACTCAAGTCACTGTTGACTTCAATTGACCTATAGGCAGCTTATGTATTTAATCCAATACCCTTGAGCTTTTCGGTTATCCATATGTAGGAATGCATCGACTTTGATGTTCACCCTAAAACCAGGAATAATGAATGATTGGTTATTAATAAAAAAAGATTTCACTGCAATGAACTACAACGCAAGAAACAATAACATACTTTCTAAATTTATCTTATTATAGCTTTGTACTTTCATTTTTTTACAACATTATAATTTCAAAAAAAATCACTAGATTATAGGAATAGGTAATATGTGATCCTATTGCTACAATCATTGATTTTTCGTAGTACAATGCTCTAATAAGAAATAACACAAAAGTATATTACTCTAATTAGAAAAGGAAAAAAAATACAATATTATAATAGCAATGTACTTTCTAAACTTATGTTATGAAACCATTCTACATTCATCCCTTTGAAAATACAATGTTACATAGTGGCAATGTACTTTCTAAAATATTCTTATAATAGCATTGTACACTCATCCCTTTTCATTACACCATTGTTAAGAAAATAATTTGGAAGTACAATGTTGTAATAAGAAAATTTAAAAACATAATACCATAATAGGAAAGAGAAAAAAAAAGACAATTAATCCTTACATTCAACCCATTATATTTTCATCATGTAATTATAAAGTACAATCCAATTCCACCCTATTTGAAAGTATAATGATATAATCATACCAAGTGTTGTCTGCTTTGAGAAACATGTTGGTTACTATTGACAAATCCTTGAGAGTATACAACATAAATGACACCCTTCTAGAATTAACCAACACTTGTCGCAATTTTACTTTACTAGTATCCCTTTTTCTTGACTTTCATCATTTGACTTTCGTCCATGTCAATGAATTCACGTAAATACTAACAAATAATAATGAAAACAAAAGAAATTTGGATTATAAAAACTACCATAAGCAAGTCAAACAACAAACAATGCACATGTCAACCATCAAATCAAAGAGCTTTATACTTGTGTTTTTAGATTATGTGCATACAAAGCAAGCAAAACACTATATAATGATTTACATTTGGAGCAAATTAAGGCAAAGTAATCCCAAACAACAAAACTGTTTACACAAAATACAAGAAGATTCCAGAACACAAAGAGACATCATCACTCTTCTAATTCCTACATCCCAATTCAAGTCTTGAATCCTCATTGATAGTTTTATTTACACACAGCTTTTGAAGATCAATATACCCAATAATCGTGTCTTCAAACACAACATCTTGCAATTGAGCACCTTCAAATGTCGAACCAGATAACACAGTGTTCTTAAACGAAGCCCCTTGAAGATTAGCCTTCCCAAAATTAACCCTATCAAGAACCGCATTCGTAAAATCCGTACCTACATTTTTACAAAACAAAAATTTAATGTATTATCAAGAAAAGCAATCAATCGAATAAAACAAAAGGTGTTACCTTTAAAGCTAGCACCAACAGCATAAGCTTTAGACATGATAACTTCAGTCATATCTGCTCCATCAAATTTAGCATCAGACATAAGTGCAGCTGCAAGAGATTTTCCTTTTAGATTTGTTTTATCATTTGTGTAGTCACAAAACCGAAGATCAATCGCCTTGTCATATACACCATTTGCTTGACCTATTGTGTTTCCAACAAATGCTCGCTCACATCTTTCAGGATCTGTTGACAATGGAGGTAATCTCTGCAAATCAAGCATCCAGATATAAATCAAAATTTGATACTGTTTGTATTCAGTGTAATGTTTATGTAGGGGAAGGTAGAAATTAGACTAACCTGATTAGCAGCGATTACAGGAGAGGTGGTAGTGAGAGCCAAGACAGCAAGGACGCCACAAGCTATGTTCCTTAGTTTCTTGAAATGAGATGAATTTTCTTTAGATGTGGAGATAGAATCATTTGGATTAGCTGATACCTGAATTGAAATGGAAATACCATATTAGAGATCAATTTGTTCCAAACATATTAATATGTAATATGACGCAAATTGTTAGTGGCATATCATTATTCATTGTAAACATTAATTTAATCAAACTAATATGTTCGATTTCTTTTTCAAAACAGGTGCAATGGAGAAACACTTAATTGGAACACTGGAAGCGAGCAAACTTGATTCGGAATTGTAATATGTATAGGTATCAATCTGGAAAAAGTCTTAATTACACGAGAGGATAAAGGGAAATCATATATGCACTTAATTCAGGCTACAATATTCAAAAAATTTCATATTCTTACTGGAGCAGTTAACGCGGATCGATGTATAAAGGTGAAAACGAACGGGGAGACGGTTGTGTTAGTGTTGTGTCATGCGTCTCTCCCCCTCTTTCCATCAACTCTCTCGCAGTTTCTCATACCCGTCTTTGAGTATAGAGCGATCGTGCAGACACGGTAACCAGTTGTAGTGGTTGAGAACGGTGGTGGCGGCGATGGCGTTCGTGAGAAGTCGGAGGTGGAACGGGTTTTGGGAGAATAAAATCGATCGCTTGTGCATATGCGTAGATTTGAAACAATCGGCTAATGTAATCCAGGGAGAGAAGGCGGTGGAAACCAGACGTAAAAGCCTAATTGGAAGGCAGGGACTAAAATTGGCAACCTCAATAAACAACTATGGCCAAAATCTAAAAAGCACAAAGTATACTGTCCTAAGTTACATGTCTATTAATATATTTATATAATATATAATTCCACCCTTGAGAATGTATGCATATGATGTAGGAAGACGATTTAAGAAGATTTGATTGAAGTATATAATAAAACATATAAAATTCATAAATTTACAAAGTATGATGATAGCTTTGTATAATATATTGATATTACTGTGTAATAATGATATTTTCTGGAAAAATATATATAAAAAAAAACACTAGGTTATTATGACATTTTAGCTAGTGTTAGAGGGCCAAGGTATAAAAGGAATTATAATTACCATTTAATTATTTTATGTTGAGCATAAAATTATTTTATGTCGAGTAGGGCTGCCTGTTGGGATGCAAACCCAATCTCACATCGGTAAAAAAAGAAAATATATGCTAGCATATAAGGCAATGGGTAACCCCTTCAATGACCAATTGGTTTTAGAAAATGAAACCTCATTGTTCTTCTTCTATGTTGAGCATGGTTGAGCTATTAGCCATTTTAACAAATGGTATCATAGCTAGTGTTAGCATATCACCAATTTATTTTAGAAAATGAAACCTTATTGTTCTTCTATGTTAAGCATGGTTGGGCTAGTAACGATCCTAACACTGCTGACCAATACCTGCAGCATACGTTTGCCAAGTCCACGTCACCACTACCAAACCCTTTACAGATTTACTCCCTCTAGCCTTATGGGCTTTGGTGTATTGATAGGGGATCTTATTTTCATGTTAGGTGTTTCCTTGTAAGAGTCTCCTGCTGGCAAAAGAAAATATTACTTCTGATATTTTCATAAAATATAAAAGTAGTAAAACTTAAATCAAATCACTCTTATAAACTCCACTTTCACTATCAGTTTAACAATATCATATCATATATTATATATAAAATATATAAGTTTAATAATATTATATGTAATAAAATAACTGAATATAAAGTATAAATAAACATTAACCATAATAATTATGGACGATCTTTAAGAGTGTTCAGATGATGTAACCGAAGAGAAATTTGATGATTCTCATTGGATTTGGAACTGAAAGCATAGGATTTAATCGAATAGTTTGATCCCAAAATCATGAAACAAGAAAATTAGACAAATATTTGATTAGATTAGTTAGAGAAGATAGACTCATCGATCTCTATCTTAACAACCTCACCGTCGTCGAAGCGGTCTTTCCGTGGTGAAGCTGGTGGCACCGGCATCTTCGGTGGTCCTCGGCCATTGGTGTTGTTCCGTGGCCTTGCCTGTTGAATCATATAAATTCTTAAATTTCATGTAATAATTTGAGCATGATTTTACTACTATGGATTGCTGAAAATAGGAAACTGTTGAACGCTCTGCTAATTACGCAAGTAATTAATAGACTGAAATTCGAAACCCTAAAATTGAGAAAAACAGGAAAACTCACATTCCCAAATGAGTGATTGAATCGCTTGCCTTTAGCAGTCTTCTTGTCTCCTCTTCCGCAATAAACTGAAACGAAACTCAGTCAAGCTTAAAATTGCATAAGTTAAAACAAGAAAGGAATTTAGAGTTTACGTACTGAGTGGTTGAATTGAGGAGGTGAGAGAGATGGAGGAAGAGGGTGAAGCGAGGGGAATGGCAGTTGGGGAACATGAACAAGAGCAAGAGAGAGAAGAAGAAGCAATTGAAAGTGCCATTGACGCCATTGGCGAGTGCTGTGTGCTTTGTTGGGAGGATAAGGGTAGCTCTTTTGAGAACGTTGATTTTTTTGGTAACAAGATATGACCAATACCACGTCGTATAACTTTAGTTCCATTTTCCTACAAATTTTTATGATTATGAATAGGTATTGTTATTACTAGTAAAAATATAAGGTATCTTTTACAAGATCCATGCATATCACTATTATAATTAAAAATAAACATTCATTATTATATTATTATATGTAAAATGAAAATATAAGTATCTTGTTATTATAAAGCTGAAGGAATTAAACATATTGTCTATAACGATATGTGGAATCTATTAATTCTTTTTCTTAATCTTTCTCACTTGATTTTGATATTTATCAATGATCTAATGAATATGAATATAAATATGAACAAAACATAAAAGTTTATTTGATTTATCTAATGATAAACCAAGTCATCCACATTATTATGTTCCACCAAAATATCATTGTTTTTAGTTAATCATTTTTGGTAGGAATTTCTGTTCGGAAAACGATTCTGGGTATATGATTTTTTTCGCTAACTAGTTAAGGGAGGTGTTTGGATAGGAAAAAAAAGAGGGTGTTTATTGCTTATTGTTTATTCACACCACAATAAACTACATTTAAGTGTTTGGATAAAATCCTTAAAAATCAGGTTACTGTGTTAAAAATAGGCTAAATAAGCTAATTTTAATAAGCATATCTCTCCTTGTTTATTGTTTATTGCTTATTCCTACCACAAATAAGCTAATAAGCTAATCCAAACACCCCTAAGTATACGATAAACTAAATTAGTTTTAGAAATTATTAAATCAAGAGTATGGGCATGTTTGGTTGTGAAACCCACATGATTGGATTCCTTAAGAAGCCTTCATGATATTCCATTCTTTTTATACCAAAGTGTACTCATAAATCCATTAAAAGGTAAACACATTTATTTTTAAAATAATTTTTTTTTACATGATTGAATTTCATTCTATTTCCTAATATCATAACACATGAATTATTGCAATTCATACATATTAGATTGAAGTTCATTTATTTCCTAAAAACTTATAGAGGCATCCTTGAAAGTTCAAATCAATTCACTTTTCTCTGGTTTATGCATGTTTTTTAGCAATCGCGAGTGTTGAAGTAGAGATTAAATCCATCCAAGAAAAGGATAATGCAATGCAAATTTGATTGATCAAAGTTTAGTATCACGGGAACAAGTTTTGTGAAGAGTGTGAGCTTGATATCGAAGGATATCGCCCAAGTTAATTTTGACTCTTATAGTTCCATATCAAGTGATCTAAGTTAATTTCATGAAATCTGTGAAGTGTAGTTATAGCATTTTGTTACTTACGTGTTATTAAGAAATATAATAACTTGAATGTTAAGAATTAGTAAGAGTTTCATGTAAAATAAAGTAAGAACTCTTATATGTAGAAAAAAGAAAACTTTGGTTTGACTCTTGAATTAGAGAGTTAATTGAAAGCAACTCCTTCATGAGGCACACGACAAGACTTCGGGTTTTCCTTGTTTAGGGTTAAGTATTTGCGTGTGAGGACTCAAAGCACCCACGCACCCCAATTTGAAGCTTTTCGGGCCCCACCGGGTTTATCAACAGAAGTTCAGATTATACAGAAGCCGATGTGGGAACGATGACAAAAAAATTTTGTGGAAGATAGTATGATTTAAATAGTGTTCAGATAATGAATTTGGAATTGAAAGCATAGGATTTAATTGAAAGCGTTTGATCCCAAAATCATGAAACAAGAAGCTTAAACAAATGTTTGGATTAGATTAGTTAGAGAAGATAGACTCGTCGATCTCTATCTTAACAACCTCACCGTCGTCGAAGCGGTCTTTCCGTGGTGGAGCTGGTGGCACCGGCACCCTCGGTGGTCCTCTGCCCTTCGTCTTGTTCCGTGGTCTTGCCTTTTTAATCGTATAAATTCTTAAATTTCATGTGATAATTTGAGATGATTTTACTACTATGGATTGCTGCAAATCGGAAAATGTCGAAAGTTCTGCTAATTACGCAAGTAATAGACTGAAATTAGAAACCCTAAAATTTGAGAAAAACAGGAAAACTCACATTCCCAAACGAGTGATTGAATCGCTTTCCTTTAGCAGTCTTCTTGTCTCCTCTTCCGCAGTAAACTGAAATTCAAGCAATCGAAAAGAAACTTAGTCAAGCTTAAATTTGCAAAAATGTATACGAGAAAGGAATGTAGAGTTTGCGTACTGAGTGGTTGAACTGAGGAGGTGAGAGAGATGGAGGAAGAGGATGAAGCGAGGGGAATGGCAGTTGGAGAACATGAACGAGAGAAAGAGAGAGAAGAAGAAGCAATTGGAAGAGCAGCGATTGAAAGTGCCATGGACGCCATTGGCAAGAGCTGTGTGCTTTCTTGGTCTGTGAGGATAAGTGTAGCTCTTTTGACAACAATGATTTTTTGGTAACAAGATATGACTCAACACGACGTCGTATGACTTTCAATCTTTATCCATCGGCAAGCATAGGTGTAAAATACAAACTTTCGTTTTAGGATTTTATTCCTTTAGCACTATTTTTCTATACAAAATCCTAATAATTTAGAAATTTTTTTATCAAGTCTTAAATTATTTTTTTTAAATAAATTTTTTAACAAGAAAAAATGACAAAAATAGCAATTTACACTAATTACATTACAAAAATAGTCAAAAAAAAAAAAAATCGAAGTTGCAAAAATAACCATGAATTTCGCAGATGGAAATGGGCTTTCCATCTGCAAATGTACAAGCAGTTAAAGCACAGTTGTGCTTTAGCTGCTTGTACATTCACAGGGTTTTTTTTTCTCTATATATATTGAAAATGTAGGGTAAAATCGCAGATGGAATAGCCCCATCTGCGATTTACTCTGATTCCCATCTGTGAATTTGTGAAGAACGACTCGCCGAGTCGCATGCATGCAATTATTATATACTCGATTCTACTTGAATCCAATGCATTCCATTCATAGATCTGGGTTCTTAGGGTAGGTTTTATACGTAAAGTTTCCAACTTTACGTGTATTCATGCACCAAAAGGGAAATAAGAGGCTTAACAAGGACTAGAAGAGTAGATTTAGGACTTTATACACAAGTTAGGCTCATAAAGGCAATAGATCCGAGCTCCTTGAGCTCAATCATGCCTAGATCTGAAGTACCTTAACATTATAAGCTCATTACTCAAAGATCAAGACTAAAAGAGGCCTTAAAATGACTATCTGAAGCTCTTAAGGAGATAATAATGAAGCAACAGAGAGGGTTTCGAGTCTAATACCTCTAGAAGCTCTGAAATGGCACAAGATTATGGATCTTCTTCCTTTCCTCTTGATCTACCTTTCTCTTTTCTCCAAAACTTCAAGGAAATGCACCAAAAGCGCTCAAATTACAAGAAGAATGGTTAGGGATTCGTGAGGGAGTGTTGTGGATGCAATGGGGCCGTTATGGGGCACAAAAAGATGTTTAAATAGGGTGCAAACCTTTGAAATTAGGGTTTCATCCAGACAGGCGGACTCGCCGAGTCCAGGATATGGACTCGCCGAGTCGCCAACTTAAACGTGCTCAATATCTCGTCTCTACTCGGCGAGTCGGGCCTACAACTCGCCGAGTTCCAGCTAAAGATGCAAAAATACTTAGAAAAAAATACATACCAGGAACCAGGTGCTACACATACACACTCTTTGACTTATAAAAATCTTTACAATTTAAGTCCCACAATTACACTTTAACCCCTAGAGACTCCAATCTTGTCATGTAGCTTTCCCGAAATCAACACCCCACTAATTATTATTTGATTTTTGGGCTATAATAACATATAATAATAATAATACAAATTGCTTCTCGAGTTCAAGTTTCATTATTTAATTATCTTATTTTAAATGAGATGTTACATAAATGCACCCTAGAGTCATGATGTTTCCAACTTTATGACTTTACACGTCCAAAAGTTCTTAATATAAGGTCTTAATCCATTAAAACCCATTTTCCAAATGCATTGGACACTTCTAGCCATTGGGACCTCATTTTTATGACTAAGGACCCCTCTAAGGGTCTGAAAGGATGGCTCAAAACATCCAGGGCATGTCATGCTCAAGATGGAACATTTAGAACCAAAAGGAAACATAAAAAGACCCAAACATAAGATCTATCAAACAAACCATAAAGGTATGAACTTTATACCTTTAGATTGTTGAGAAGAGAGCCAAACTTCCAGATCCAATCCTTGCTTCAAGCTTCCAAGCTTCTTCATGCACTTCTCCTTCCTCTAAAACACCAAGAACACACTTTAGGGCTCTCAATCTCACTCTAGGAGGCTAGGGTTTTGCAAGAACAACTCTAAGACTTTGGAGGCTGCAAAGGTGGGGATAAATGAGCCATAAGGATGCTTAAATACCCTACAAACCCTAAAACTTAGGGTTTCCTTCATACACGAGTACACCCAGCTTACCAGGGCGCACCTTAGTACGCTCAGCATACCCACATGTACCCTTAGCATACTCTTCTTGGACCCAAAATTAAAAATTTTCCACTAGGGCTTCCCATGACTACTTCTATCCAATCCAAGACCAAAGTAACATATATTAAAAACCAAAAGATGAATTTAGAAATACTTGAATTCTCGGAATGTTACAGGCGTTCTATATATCTACGAAAATTGTATTGACGTCTCCTTCATATCTATGATGATTATTTTGGCTCAAGAGTAATATATTTTATTTTGTATTTTATAATAATTACAATCTACGGTTATAGTAAATATGGGGTGTTACATGAGGTTTTTTTTTGGAGGGGGGGGGGAGGGTCTCTTTTTTGAAGTTGGCTTTATTGGTAAATGTTTGATGTAGAAACTCGGGTTAGTTGATATGAATATTCATGTTAGCAGTGGAAAGTGATTAACTAAAAACATTTTATTTCATGACCATGGTTCATTACATAACAAACATCTCGGTGAGCGATCCCTTTATATATTAGAGATTGGTTTCCGTTTTATTTATGTAGGTCTGAACATTATTTGAAGCAAAATAAATCAGAACGAAAAACTCAGTTTGTGATGAACTTAAATCGTGGGAGTGCGTTATCCCCCACAACAAACTCAAGTCACTGTTGACTTCAATTGACCTATAGGCAGCTTATGTATTTAATCTAATACCCTTGAGCTTTTTGGTTTTCTATATGTAGGAATGGATCGACTTTGATGTTCACCCTAAAACCAGGAATAATGAACGATTGGTTATTAATAAAAAAAGATTTCACTGCAATGAACTACAACGCAAGAAACAACAACATACTTTCTAAATTTATCTTATTATAGCTTTGTAGTTTCATTTTTTTTACAACATTATAATTTCAAAAAAAATCACTAGATTATAGGAATAGGTAATATGTGATCCTATTGCTACAATCATCGATTTTTCGTAGTACAATGCTCTAATAAGAAATAACACAAAAGTATATTACTCTAATAAGAAAAGGAAAAAAATACAATATTATAATAGCAATGTACTTTCTAAACTTATCTTATGAAACCATTCTACATTCATCCCTTTGAAAATACAATGTTATATAGTGGCAATGTACTTTCTAAAATATTCTTATAATAGCATTGTACACTCGTCCCTTTTCATTACACCATTGTTAAGAAAATAATTTGGAAGTACAATATTGTAATAAGAAAATCTAAAAACATAATACCATAATAGGAAAGAGAAAAAAAAAAGACAGTTATTCCTTACATTCAACCCATTATATTTTCATCATGTAATTATAAAGTACAATCCAATTCCACCTATTTGAAAGTATAATGATATAATCATACCAAGTGTTGTCTACTGTGAGAAACATGTTGTTTATAAAAACTACCATAAGCAAGTCAAACAACAAACAATGCACTTGTCAACTGATAAAATCAAAGAGCTTTATACTTGTGTTTTTAGATTATGTGCATACAAAGCAAGCAAAACATTATATAATGATTTACATTTGGAGAAAATTAAGGCAAAGTAATCCCAAACAACAAAACTGTTTACACAAAATACAAGAAGATTCCAGAACACAAAGAGACATCATCACTCTTCTAATTCCTACATCCCAATTCAAGTCTTGAATCCTCATTGATAGTATTATTTACACACAGCTTTTGAAGATCAATATACCCAATAATCGTGTCTTCAAACACAACATCTTGCAATTGAGCACCTTCAAATGTCGAACCAGATAACACAGTGTTCTTAAACGAAGCCCCTTGAAGATTAGCCTTCCCAAAATTAACCCTATCAAGAACCGCATTCGTAAAATCCGTACCTACATTTTTACAAAAAACAAAAAAATTAATGTATTATCAAGAAATCAAGAAGCTAAATCAATCAGATCAAACAAACGGTGTTACCTTTAAAGCTAGCACCAACAGCATAAGCTTTAGACATGATGACTTCAGTCATATCTGCTCCATCAAATTTAGCATCAGACATAAGTGCAGCTGCAAGAGATTTTCCTTTTAGATTTGTTTTATCATTTGTGTAGTCACAAAACCGGAGATCAATCGCTTTGTCATATACACCATTTGCTTGACCTATTGTGTTTCCAACAAATGCTCGCTCACATCTCTCAGGATCTATCGACAATGGAGGTAATCTCTGAAAATCAAAAATCCAAACCGAAATCAAAATCTGATACTATTTGTATTCGATATAATGTTTATGTAACAGGAAGGTAGAAATTAGTCGAACCTGATTAGCAGCGATTACAGGAGAGGTGGTAGTGAGAGTCAAGACAGCAAGGACGCCACAAGCGATATTCCTTAGTTCCTTGAAATGAGATGAATTTTCTTTAGATGTGGAGATAGAATCATTTGGATTAGCTGATACCTGAATTGAAATGGAAATACCATATTAGAGATCAATTTGTTCCAAACATATTAATATGGAATATGACGCAAATTGTTAGTGGCATATCGCTATTCATTGTAAACATTGATTTAATCAAACTAATATGTTCGATTTCTTTTTCAAAACAGGGTGCAATGGAGAAACTCGAGCAAACTTCATTCGAAATTGTAATATGCATAGGTATCAATCTGGAAAAAGTCGTAATTACACGAGAGGATAAAGGGAAATCATATATGCACTTAATTCAGGCTACAATATCCAAAAAATTTCATATTCTTACTGGAGCAGTTAACGCAGATTGATGTATAAAGGTGAAAACGGAGGGGTAGACGGATGTGTTAGTGTTGCGTACTTTTGCTTCTTTCTTTGACAAATAATCAATGTCTCTCTCTCTTTCTCATTTCCATAATTTCTTCCCTCAATCGTCGTTCCCCCTCTTTTTATCAACTCTCTCGCAGTTTCTCATACTCATCTTCGAGTATAGAGCGATCGTGCAGACACAGTAAGCAATTGTAGTGATTGAGAACGGTGGTGGCGGCGACGACGTTCGTGAGAAGTCGGAGGTGGAACGGGTTTTGGGAGAATAAAATCGATCACTCGTGCATATGCGTACTTGTGTAGATTTGAAACAGTCGGCTAATGTAATC